GGTGGAGCGAGTACATCAGGCTGCCTCCCTAACGTGGGGGGTCCTCCTCCATCAGCTGAGGTCCTTAATAGAACAAAAGGCTGAGTTGGAGGGAGCTCCTCCTGCATGACTGACTTTCAAGTGGTGACATCGGCTTTCTTCCTGCCTTTGGACTTGAACCGAAACATCAGCTCTTCTTGGATCTTGAGCCTGCTGGCCTTCAGACTAGAACTCACCGTTGGCTCTCCTGAGTCTTGGCTTGCTGACTCACCCTGCAGAACTTGGGACTTGTCAGCCTCCACATTTGTATGAGCCAATTCCTTGTAATGTCTCTTTCTATATATATACATATATCTCCACATCCTATTGTTCCACTTCTCTGGAGAACCCTAAATAATATAGCATCATTCCAAGAGCAGCAGAAATGTTAGTGCTTCTGAGGAATTACTGTAAAGGGTACCTGAATAGCAGCACGTGCTATCAGCCCCCGTTTTCTGTTGTCCGCTGTTGCCTGTTCCCTCCCCACCCTTTGGGTTGATTTCAGGATAGAGATATCGGGTGGGACTGGGGTTGGGTGTGCAGTTACCCAGAACAGCCAAGATGTGTGCAGGCTGTGTCCCAGGAGCATCAAGCACTGCTCAAGCTGCTTGGAAAAGAAAACAAAATCGGGAAACTGAGGAGTTGGGTGGGCAATGGAATGGAGCAGGAAGAAAGGGGCAAGGGTAGAAGAAAAGCAAAAGAATCCCTGAGACAGGGCCAGTGTAAACAAGGCTTCATTTGACTACTGTTTGAGAGTGGGTGAGCCTGACTTCAAGGCCAATTTCTTTTCAAAGATAGGACACTGATTTTCTTCAAGAAGGTAGAACTAGTAAGTGGCCTCATGCCATATCATCACAAAAAGGGAAGGGCTGGGGGAGACAGAAGGGGCAGCCACGGCCTCCAAGTGGTGTAGGCCTCACCCTTGTGCTCACATGTCCCAACCACCGTGGTGCCATCCCTGAATCCCAGACCCTACATGTAACCATCCTCTGCCTGGGCCATAGAAGGAAGCTCCAGGTCCTTTGCGACAGTTAAGGGAAATGGGCATGATCTAAACTGGGCAAAAGAGAGTCATCCTGGCCGGACGCAGTGGCTCACGCCTATAATCCCAGCACTTTGGGAGGCCGAGGTGGGTGGATCACGAGGTTAAGAGATGGAGACCATCCTGGTCAACAAGGTGAAACCCCATCTCTACTAAAAATACAAAAAATTAGCTGCGCATGGTGGTGCGCGCCTGTAGTCCCAGCTACTCGGGAGGCTGAGGCAGGAGAATTGCTTCAACCCAGAAGGCAGAGGTTGCGGTGAGCTGAGATCATGCCATTTCACTCCAGCCTGGGTAACAACAGCGAAACTCCGTCTCAAAAAAAAAAAAAAGAGAGAGTCATCCTGGTACTTTAAAAAGGAGCCTAGTGTGAGCCCCAGACTGCTGGGCCATCTTCACCACCTTTGGGGAGAGATGACCTGAGCAGACACACAAAGCAAAGAAATGGAGTGAGACTGACTTTGTGTCATTGTTTGAGTCCCGGGACCCAGCCAAGTCCCCCAGACTACCCTGAACTTTTCAGTTGTGGAAACCAATAAATTCCATTTAGTTAAGAAAGTTTCAGTTCTGTGTCTTGCAGCTGTGAGCATTCTGACAATAAATTTGATGTTCCGGGCCCTTTTGGGCTAGATCCATGAACTAATTGCTTGTCATGCACCTCCAGTGGGAGGTGCTGCTCGAAACACCAACTCAGTGTTCCCCAAAGCCACACCCTTCCTTTCCTGCTCTCACACCACTGTGACCACACCACGATCTCACGAAAGCCTGCCCATTCTCCAAGGCCCAGATTAAGTCTCTCCTTTAGGAAGTGTTCCTTGGGTGTTACCCAAACCTGAGGAAAGAGGTTTCCTCTTTCCTGCTGGCTGAACTGGAAGGCCCTAGAGGGCAAGGATCACATGTGTTAGTATCTCTGCATCCTCCACAAAGCACTTATGTTCAGTATATTTGCTGAATGAATGTTACATAAAAAAGGATGAACCAGCTGGGTGAGGTGCCTCACACCCATAATCCCAGCTCTTTGGGAGGCCAAGGCAGGCAGATCACCTGAGGTCAGAAGTTCTAGACCAGCCTGGCCAACATGGTGAAATCCCCATCTCTACTAAAAATACAAAAATTGGTCGGGTGTGGTGGTGGGTGCCTATAATTCCAGCTACTCAGGAAGCTGAGGCAGGGAGAATTGCTTGAACCCAGAGGTGGAGATTGCAGTGAGCCAAGATCGTGCCACTGCACTCCAGCCTGGGTGACAAAGCAAGACGCTGTCTCAAAAAGAAAAGCATGACTCCTGGCCTAATGGACTGATAAGGTAAACAACAAGAAAGACACAGGTCTGTACACATAATAGAAATTGGGTATATACCAGCCTGGGCAACATGGCAAGACTCTGTCTCTACAAAAAATAAATTAGCTGGGGGTAGTGGCTCATACCTATAGTCCCAGCCACCGGGAGGCTGAGGTGGGAGGATCGCTCGAGCCTGGGAGGTTGAGGCTGCAGTGAGTCATGATTGCAACACTAGACTCCAGCCTGGGCGACACAGCAAAATCCTGTCTCCAAAAAAAAAAAAAAGAAAAGAAAAGAAAAAAGGGCCAGGCACGGTGGCTCATAGCTATAATCCCAGCACTTTGGGAGACTAAGGGGGGTGGATCATGAGGTCAAGAGATCAAGACCATCCTGGCCAACATAGTGAAACCCTGTCTCTACTCAAATACAAAAATTAGCTGGGTGTGGTGGTGTGCACCTGTAATCCCAGCTACTGGGGAGGCAGAGGCTGGAGATCTGCTTGAATTGGGGAGGTAGAGTTTGCAAGGGGGCCGAGATCACAACACTGCACTCCAGCCTGGGCAACAGAGCAAGACTCCATCTCAAAAAATAAGTAAATACAAATGAATAAGGGACATTCTTCCTTTATTGAAATAAAACTCATCCGCCACCCCAAGGTTATTCTTGAAATTCTTGAAGGAAACTCTCCACCAAGAGTGATGGCACTAGACATATACTGAGAGACCCCCAAGAGGGAAGTGAAGCCACGGGGGCATCTGGGCTAAATAGTTTATCTTGACACATAGGGAGGCCCTTTACAGGGCTAGCTGCCATTTTCCACCCAGATGGGCCAAGAACCTTCTAAACAGGGCAGCCTGCAGGCCCTGCACCCTTCAGGCCCCATTCTCAGATAACCATACAACCCATTAAGCCAGATGGACTCACAGCTGTCTCTAGAAAGTTCTTCATTACCTGACTCCTCAGACACAGGGTTGGGCTGAGGGGCCTCTCTCTCACCTTGAACATCTTATGAAGCCCCTTACCACCCACTGTGTTGCTCTCCCAAATCAGCTGAAGGAGGTGGCTGGTCCCACATAAACCCTCCAGCTCTGAGACCAGCCAATCTCCCTGGACACTGCCCTCTCCCCCAGCAACAAAGCCAAAAATTTTCTGCAAAGCTTATAGTAAGGAACTGGTATCTTAATTCTTTTTTTTTTTTTTTTTTTGAGATGGAGTCTTGCTCTGTTGTCCAGGCTGGAGTGCAATGGTGCAATCTCAGCTCACTGCAACCTCTACCTCCTGGGTTCAAGTGATTCTCCTGCCTCAGCCTCCCAAGTAGCTGGGATTACAGGCACCCACCACTGTGCCCAGCTAATTTTTGTAGTTTTAGTAGAGATGAGGTTTTGCCATGTTGACCAGGCTGGTCTCGAACGCCTGACCTCAAGTGATCTGCCCGCCCCAGCCTCCTAAAGTGCTGGGATTACAGGTATGAGCCACTGCGCCTGGCTGGTATCTTAATTCTTAAACCAGTGACCCTACTAAAGTGTCTTCATTTCAGGTGGATTCATTCAAAATGACATTTTCAGGCTAGGTGCGGTGGCTCAGGTCTGTAATCCCAGCACTTTGGGGAAGCTGAGGCAGGAGGATTGCTTGAAGCCAGTAGTTTGAGACCAGCCTGGGCAACGTGGTCAGGTCCCGTCTCTACCCCCGCAAAAAAAGACATTTTCTCTTCCTCCATGCACCTCCCAACTCCCATTAAAATGCCATTCCCTGCAAAAATGCAGGGGAAGAGGGAAGATTGTAGGCTATTTGAAAACAAGGCCATGAAGTTTGTCAGTTCCCTTGTGTCTCCCCACAGCACCTGTATTCCATTAGTGTAGTGCCCGAGAGCATGGACACCATGGGCAAGATGCAGGCTGAAGATCCTCTAGTCATCTTGGGAAAGATGCCCTCCTGCAGATGCACCACCTCTTCATGTGTCCCAGGGTCCTCTCCTTGTGGCCCTTCACATCTCATGGCTTCCAGTATGTTGGCCCCTCTTTGCCTGCACAGCTGATGCTACCTTCCAGCTGCCATGTTATGGGTGGACAGGGACTGGGGCTCCTGCATTGCATTCCTGACTCCAGCACATGGCTGAAACACTGGGCTCTCTCAACTGTGACTGCCCTCTTCCCCTTTGAGAGGTCCTGTCTCCCACTTCCGGCACCCTCACTTAACTGCCAGGCAGACCCCTTCCCATTGTCATGTCATTAAAATAAAGCTTCGTCCCACCCTTCCGTTCTTAAAATATGTCCAGGGCTCCCCCTGCTGTTAGTGCCTTAGATGAGCGCCTCTCGCCTATCTAACCTCTGCTTTCACCACGTCCCGGCCACAGTGTGCTTTTGCTCTTGCCATTCTCTCAGCAGGAGTGTCCCTACCTCAATTCACTCCCACATCAAGTGTGGCTCAAGCTGTGTCCTCTAGGAAGCCCTTCATTATCACTCAGCTCAGAACTGGCTCCCTTCTGGGCATAACACTTCTCCCAGCCAGCCGCCCACTTCATGTCTTTCTGTGGACAAGTCTATCTCCTGAACTAAGGACATAAAATCCTTGGAGACGGTCCCATCAGTCAGTGTATTTCCAATGGTGCCTAACAGTGCTTTGTCTGAATGGACATGAAATGAGAGAGAACACACTCCTAGCTTCCAAGAAAGATGTGTATTCTCCCTAGCAATAACAAAAGACACCTAAATGGGCCACTCCCTGAAGGGAGCTCTCAGTTCTTTTACCATGTAGGCAGAAGGTAGGAAGGTAGGTAGGAAGGAAGGGCGGGAGAAAGAGAGGGAAGGAAGAGAGGGAGGGAAGGAAGGGAATGAGGGAATGGGGGCAATCAAGGCCTGGCACTGCCCTACAGGAGGCTTACAGGTCACATTCCCAGACTATCTCCACCCCCATGCCTCTCCTAGTAAGATTCATTGCCTATGCTTTCAAAGAAAGTGCAGTTTCTAGGGAGTGATGGAAAATGTGAAATACACAAAATAAAAGGAGAGGAAAACACACAAATTATTAAATAAAATTTAAAAATAGGAAAGGCTGGGCATGGTGGCTCAGGCCTGAAATCCCAGCACTTTGGGAGGCAGAGGCAGGTGGATCACCTGAGGTCAGGAATTTGAGACCAGCCTGACCAACATGGAGAAACCCTGTCTCTACTACAAATACAAAAAAGTAGCCAGGTATGGTGGCACATGCCTGTAATCCCAGCTACTCACTAGGCTGAGGCAGGAGAACTGCTTGAACCTGTGAGGTGGAGGTTGCAGTGAGCTGAGATCATGCCATTGCACTCCAGCTGGGGCAACAAGAATGAAATTCTGCCTCAAAAAAAAAAAAAAAAAAATAGAGGGGGGAAAAAAGTGCAGTTTGTTGTGCAAGCTAGAGCCCAAAGAAGTCTATTTTCTCCCACAGGATAGCTAGAGTTCCAGAGCCACTTTCTCTTCTGTAGCCCACCAGAGGAAGCAGCGTGAAGAGCTCAGGGTTTGAAGGCTGGACCTTGGTCAGGAGTCAGCTGTTTCTAGCTGTTCCAGAAAGACCTAGAAACTTCCTGTGTGAAAATAATCAGGATTAGGAAGCTCTGGGGGTGAAAATGCCATACACAGAGCTGGCCCACGTCAAGTCCCTTCTAACTATTTTAAATTAGGGCCTTAGCTGGGCGTAGCAGCTCATGCTTATAATCCCAGCACTTTGGGATGAATCACCTGAGGTCAAGTTCAAGACCAGCCTGACCAACACGGTGAAACCCCTGTCTCTACTAAAAATATCAAAAAAATTAGCCAGGAATGGTGGTGCACACCTGTAATCCCAGCTACTCAGGAGGCTGAGGCAGGAGCATCATTTGAACCCAGGAGGTAGAGGTTGCAGTGAGCTGAGATCAAGCAACTGCACTCCAGCTTGGATGACAGAGTGAGACTCCGTCTCAAAAAAAAAAAAAAATTAGAACCTCATGAATGTCTCCTTCTTCTCTGAGACAAAGGGAACAAACCGCATCAGGAAAATTATGACAGAAAAATGACAGGAAATGACAGGCGGCCATTGGCATTTCCATTCTTATTTGTGGTTTCTGGGTTTTGTTTGCTTTCCTTTTTAATTTTTTTCCTAGAAAAAAAAAATACAACCAGGAGAATTTATATGACAAACTATCAGTGTCAGGATGACAGAGGAAAAGAGAAAGAAGGGGAAGGCCAGAGGCATGGGAAGTGAATAAAAAGTGGGTTTCGGATCACATGGAATGGTCCACAGGGTCATGTACAGGTCCTCAGGAGATGACCAGTCCCTTTGGCATGCATGTCTGGTGCCTGGTCTTCTGGTCTGCCTGCTCAGACACCCATGGACAGAGATAGCTGGCCACATGTAAACCTGCCAACAACAAACTCAGGATTTTACAGAAAGATGTAGTTCAGTTCCTTGGCTTTATGGTCAGACATCACACAGCAGGCAGCCAGCAGCCTTTCTTGCCTGAGAGCGGAGTCCAGAAGAGCAGGAGAGTCACCTTTGAAGACACTCTGGCATCACAGCAGTGAACTGCAAGCAGCCACCCGCTCATGTGCAGATGTGGCCCTCATCACCCATGCAGGCATCTGTCCAGACATCCCCAGTCAATCTGGCCAAAGGATGGGACATGACAGTCCCTTTCTAGCCACAGCTTCATAGTGTTGTCCATTCTCCAGTCTTGCTTGAACTGCCTATTACCTTAAAGATTGGAGGAGATTGGAATCCATTTCCTTTTCAGCTCAGCAATGGACGTTCATTTCCAAGAAGCAAGTAACTTAACAAGGACAGCTGGCCATCTGGATCTACACTGAAGGTCTTTCAAGTTTCATCCACTTTATACGCAGAGCTCAGGGCAGAAAATTCAGCCAGAGCCAGAGCAAACAGCGTGGCCAGGGTGATGGCTGAGAGAGAAAGTGCCAGCAGCACACTGCAAGGCCAGAGTACATTCAAGAGAGGGAGAGGGGCATGCGGCAGGTTGGAGTCTAGGGCAGCATTGAGTCTGAAGGACACAGCCCGGCCTGCTGGGCTGACAAGGTGGGTCTGATGCCTCAGGTGACGGAGCCCCACTGGTTGTATTCCTATGTGGAGGGTGGTGGGTTTCTGCCCTGTTGTGGCCCCTGTTCCTGAACTGAGGCCAGGTTCCATCTCAGTGCTGCAGTCCTGAAGAGCACCACGCTGGCCCGCCAGCCAGGCCACAGTCCTTAGCCCCTCTGGGTTCCACAAGAAGGCCCCAGGGAGCGATAGTCGCTGGGAGGGAAGGGGCCAGGGAAGGGAGGCTGCATTCTGCTGGGAGAGACTCAGGGAGGGACTACCATGGGCTTGGAAGAAGCTACGGCCCAAATATTGCAGAGCCAAAAGGAATGGGATACATTTCTAAAAAGTGACAACAGTCTTGTCCCTATTTTAAAAACAGAATAGTGTTGCTGTTGCCTGGTTTTGTTTTTTTTTCCTTTTAAAACCACTCACATTTAAAAGGTGAAAGGGCTGGGAGATGTAGTCCCCTTTACTTTCATCCTTGGTAGGCACCAGGAGGCCTCGGTCTCATGCTGACTCCTGCTCTCCTTGTCTGGGCTCCAGTCACACAAAGCAAGGCCAGGGAGGGTAGCAACTGTTCTGCCTTCCCAACAGCAATTCCCTCTCCCCATAAAACCAGGGCATAAGTGAGGAGAAGTCCAAAGAGTAAAGTGCACAGAACTCCCCGGAGCAGTTGGCCTGGGGGTGGGTCACTCCGAGAAGGAAGAGGGCTGGGGGCATCGGCCCAGAGCCACAGCTGTGAAACAAACACTGATCCCTGTGATGTGAGCCTGCAAGCCACAGTCCCCTTTCCCTTGGGCCCTCTGACACTTCTTCCTGGGACTGTCCACTCTCAGCAGCTCTCCAAGGAAAGTCTCGGTCCCAAAGATCCATCCTGGGGGAAACTTGGATGACCTTCCCTGGCTGCTAATGACTCGTGAACGTGAAGGGAGCAGGATGTGGCAGAAGGGAAACAGTGCATTATAGAAAACCAGTGGACCCCCAGTTCTGAGAGCAGGGATACTCGAATAACTTCCTCTCCTGGGGAAGGTTTGGAGAACATGGAACCAGTGAGGCCTGCTGGGGAAAGGAGCTCCTCTGGGTGCAAGAGGAGTTGCAGAGTTGGGGAAAGGGCTGCCAAGGAAGAGAGCCCAAGGCTGGCATTATGGTGTGTAGGCAGGAGGTGGCTGGAACTGGTTGATGACCTCATATTCCGCTGGGTAGGGCTCGTTCTCCTCCATCTCAGAGAGCAGCTCCAGAGCCTGCTCCTCTTCCTCTGTGGGGTAGTGGCGAAGGAGGTTGGCTGCTGTGGCCAGGATTGAGGCTCCACCAGCTCCTGCCACCAGGTAGAAGCTAACAGCGAAGGTGACATAGACCTGGGATCCATGGTACTTCTTATGCTGCTGCTGCTGGGCCAGGATGAGTTCAGAAGCCCAATAAGAAAAGCCAATGACAGTAGCACACTGCAGGACTAGGGGACAGATGGACAGCACAGAAGGGGGATTAGAGGGCACTCTACCAACAAGATGCTTGAGGACCCAATCGCAGCCTCACTACCCAATCCCCATTCTCAGAGAACCTGCCTGGGCCCAGACCCAGCAAGGAGGAGCTCTCTTGGCCATGGGATTCCTGGCCTGAGGCTGGGGACAGCAGTCTGACCTGATGTAGGCCAGATTCCCACTGTCTTAAGGAACAAATAGGGTCATGCAGCTTTGGGAGCTGGAGTGGGCACACCACAATTCAAACCAACACAGCAAAGCAGGCATGAGGGAGGACAGCAGCCACATATAAGAAAAGGCTGGTCTGTAGGGAAGCAGGAAGGTGGAGAGGAGAGAATCTGACCAGGAGCTCCAGAGGAGACAGGGGAGACAGCCTGGTTCCTTCTTCACTCATGCCGGTCTAAGCTCAGCTGGGCTTCAAATACCATTTTTAGAGAGCTGTGAGCTTCCTTGCAGAATTTCTAGCAACATTTCCTCTCTACAGCTGGGCTGAGTGGTTTGTGATCCTGGCAAGTTAGCAGCTAGACTAGAGCAGGCTGCTGATACCCTGACACTCTGGGAAAGGCTGGAGCTTTGCACATGAGCTCCTGGAAGGGTGTCTGCTCACAGAGCCCCCACCAGCAACTCCAGACAGGATGCCCCCACCCTGTGGCAGTTCCTCCCCCACCGTGAGGGGGACCTGGGCTTACCAGTGAGGATATGGGCGAAGGCATAGCGACGGGTGATCTTCAGGGCGGGATGCTTGGGGCCAAAGACATCCAGAAGGAAAGCGGAGAGACTACACAGAATGCCTAGGAAGCAGAAGGCAGCGATGACCCTCAGGAGCAGCACTGTCTGGGGATTCATGCAGAAATCTGTAGGAGGAGAACCAAATCTTCAAGGACCCATGTAACACCTGGTGCAGGAAATCTCAACCTAGAAGGGGCTTGATCCCGTCCACCACAGTCCTGGGGAGCCAGGGAAGTTCTGGAGGATACTCTCTTAGCTCTTGCTCCTAGGTGGTCTGCAGGGGAGCTGGAACAAATTCCACATTAGCAGACAGAAGCCCTGGGCCACTGCTCTCCTGTACCTCAAGGCCTCCTCTTTCCAAGAAGACAAGCCTAAGTGCAGGATTCTACTTCACTGTATCTGCCGTGCCCTTCTAACCATTTTTAAAGACACTGACAATTAACCTGACATGTTAATGCATTCTGCTAAAGGAAAGGCCTGACTTCTGAGCTAAGACAGCCAGAGAGGCTAAGACCACAGGTCAATTAATGTTGATTGTCCATTTACTCACTCATTCATTGTCTTTTTGTTCCAAAAAGAAGTTGAACTTGAAGACCTGTGCTAAGTGAAATCAACAAAATGTAGGACAAATATTTTACAATTCCACTCACACAAGATACCTAGAATAGTCAAATTTATAGAGACAGAAAGTATAATAGTGGTTGCCAGGGGAACAGTAAGTGATTTAATGTACACAGAGGTACAGTTTGAAATGATGAAAAAGTTTTGGAAACAGTCATGATGCTTGCACAACAATGTTAATATGCTTAGTACCACTGAATCGAACACTTAAAATGGTTACCACTTTGGGTGGCTGAGGTGGGAGGTTTGCTCGAGGCCAAGAGTTTGAGTCTTGCCTGGGCAAGACAGTGAGACCCCATCTCTCTGAAAAAAAAAATTGCTGGGCATGGTTACGCATGCCTATAGTCTTAGCTCCTTTGGAGGCTGAGGCAAGAGGATTGCTTGAGCCCAGGAGTTCGGGGTTATAGTAAGCTATAATCACACCACTGTACTCCAGCCTGGATGACAGAGTGAGACCCTGTCTCTTAAAAAAATAAAAGGTTAAAATGCTAAGTTTTATATTATGTATATTTTACCATAGAAAAAAAGTGAAATCAAGAGGAAGAAAGAAGTTGCAGCAGTTTAGAGAAATGTGTAGCTACAAGAAAGTATTACATAATTAGAAAAGAGGGTAGACTATACTGTCACATTGAGTTTTGCTCCCTCCCCAAACCCTACAACAAGAAAAGAATTTTTTTTAAAGGCATAAACCCATACAAAAAGAAACAGAGGTGTAAAACAAGGTTCTGAAAACTGGGAAGTAAAGGGCATAGCACCACCTAGAAGAGACTCAGCAGAGCTGGGGAACAAGCCAGCAATGGGAAAAGCTAGGAAACAACCACATTTATGCCACAAAAGCCCCAGAAGCCTTGGAGAGTGCCAATGTGCACACGTCAAGGGCATAAATGAAGGAAAAGGAAGAGACTGAAAGGAAAGACACAGTACTCATGGAGTCCCTGAGAGTCATGGTGCAGGGAGAGCCCATGACGACATCACGCACCAGACACACAGAGCAACTTGTATTTCCCTCCAGTACTTTAGCTATTCTTTTAAAAAAACATTTCAACTAGAGGACACTGCTGTCCTTTGATAACTATGCAAACTGCCATAGCTCCCAGAAGCATAGGGTAGAATAAAGGTTGAAACAAAAAGAAACCAGGCTATGATTAGTATTTTAAGCTTTAATAAAAAGTAGGAAATGGGGCCGGGCAGGGTGGCTCATGCCTGTAATCCTAGCACTTTGGGAGGCTGAGGAGGGTGGATTACCTAAGTTCAGGAGTTCGAGACCAGCCTGACCCAATATGGTGAAACCCCATCTCTACTAAAATTTAAAAAATTAGCCAGGCATGGTGGCATGTACCTGTAGTCCCAGCTACCTGGGAGGCTGAGACAGAAGAATTGCTTGAACCCAGTGGGCGGAGATTGCAGTGAGCCAAGATCATCACGCCACTGAACTCCAACCTGGGCAATAGAGCAAGATTCCATCTTAAAAAAAAAAAAAAGTAGAAAATGGGGCTTTAACTTCCTCTCCCTTCTCTGTTATAGCCACTGGCAAGTTCTTTTATTTGGGCCATGGATCACCAAGTGATTTAGGAAAATTTGGAAAGGGCTGGCAAAACTCAAGCTTGATAGGGTCCTTTCCTGAACTTGATCTCACGCTGAGATGGTGTGGGGTGTGATCATCAATCTCTAAGGCATACCCAAACCACTGTGGCACTGGCTGAAACCATGTCCCCAGGTCCTCAGAGAGTCTGAGTTCTAGGTCTGGACGAGGGCCTAGGAATCTGGATTTTAACAAGAAGCCCAGGTAATCTCCATGCAGGTGATCCATGCCCCACACTTCAAGAAACACTGGTTCCAGAACTCAGAGGAAGGTGGACTGATGAGGGAAAGTCCAGGAACCTGGAGAGGGGACCCAAACCCAGCAAAGCTGTCTCAGCCCATCAGACGCTGGCATCACAGGTTCTGGGTAGAGGGAAGCCCTGTGCCTTTGGGATTGAGCTTACATACCCTGCCTCAGACTCAAGAGTTTGCCTGGCAGAAACTGGCTGGGCCCAGATAAGGCTCATATGCCTCTGTTTGGCTTTGGGTCACCCACCAAGCAGCCCTCAGAGCTATCTTTCATGATCTCTTGTCTGCTGACTATGTTTTGGGCTCAAGCATCCTGCCTGGGTAACTGCCTACTTCTAGAAACCCTGCCTGTGTGTGAGGCCTGCCAGCAACTGGAACCAGCCTTCACTGAACCCCTGCAGAGCCGTAGTGCATGGGGCCTCGCTGAAAGAAAAGCTCTAGGAGACAGGGGCTATCTCCTGACTTTATTTTAAATATTATTAAAAGCTGAGAGAGTTTTTCTTGGGGTCCACATGGCATGCGGCAGGGATGGGGCAGTGTTCTTATAGTGCTTCCGAGAATAACCTGCCGGAGGTCACATGCGGCTCTGCAGCAGGCCATGTCAGATTCCACTCACATTACTAATGAAGCCAGGCACTTGCAATGAGAAAAGTAATACAAGGGAGCTTCAAGGAGACTGTGTTGTTTCTTTGGCTGGATGATGAGCACAAGGATGTTTATTTTATTATCCGTAAAAATGAACATCCATGACATATACTCCTACTGTCTTATTTTCATTATACATGAATTTTAGTAATAAGGAGACATGCACATGATAAAAAGCTTCCTAGAGGATGTCCTTCTCCTTACAGATGCCCACCTGTTCCTCCCCAACATTGTTGGAGGGACCTTGTATACCCCTCCTGGGACTGCCTGTGTACACAGATAGGTCAAATGTGATCATCGTTAAGCCTCACTGTTCCCTTGGGGGATTTACCACACAGCTCCGATGAGGAGTTGGGGGCTCCAGGAGGTGAAGTGGCTTCCTCCCTGCCACATGCTGCAGAGTTAGATTCCAAACTACGGTCAGGCTCCCCTGTACTGTGCTGCTCAGAATGTATTTTTCCCTGGAGATAATCAATCAAATCCTAAAGAGTTGTGCATGATTGAGGGGGTCAGCAGCTAACAGGAATACTATTGGAGCCATCCTTGGAGCCAGCTGCTAAGCTCACTAGAGGAACAGTTTGAAGCATGAAATCTCTCAAACAAACAAAAAAAGGTTTGGGTCATTAAGTCCTCATATGAGGAATTATTGGGTAAAACCTATCAGGCACGATGTCTACGCTCCTGCAGCACTACCAACCATCAGAGCTTGCTCTTGGAAGTGGTCAGGACACCAGAAAGGCTCAGGACCTGGCACCCAATCCTAGCTCTAGCAGAGACTGCATTACTTTGAGCAAGTCGCTTGAGTGCGCCGGACCTCTGTTTTCTCATTGATCAAATGAAAACAATAGCATCTGCCCCACCCACCACCAGGGCACGCTGGGTCAGCTGATACCGTGCCCATGAAAGAGCAGCCACCTGTTCTGTTACTAACCTCGGCATGCCTTTCCTTCTTCTACCAAGACTTCCTTGACCACACGTCAGTCTGTGGATTGCAAAGCCTACTGAAGCCAGACTAAGGGCCTGCTCTACTAGTGTGACAATGTGATAGAGAGAAGGGGCTTTTGACCTAAAACTCCAACAGGTTTTGTTTCAGTGTAACTGCCTTTCTCCACTCCAAAGCTGTGAGTAAACCCTCAGGGTTAGTGAGAAAACCAAATGTGAACTTCCCTCTGGGTAATGTTAACAGATACCCCAGGGGCTTGCCCATGTAACAGGTGGGCTTTCCTCAGAGGGTCTTAGAGCACACAGGAAGAGGCAGTTATCGTAGACCGGCTTGGAGCCCAGCTCAGAGACTCTTCTGGAGTTAGTATCTCAGTGTCTTTCTCTTCTCCCTTCCTAGACATCAGTACATCAGGGAAGGCAACAAACACCTGCTCCCATGGGGGGATTGCCAAAGAAAACCCCCAAAGGTTAATTATGTAGGATTTTATCTGAGGCAAAAATGGCATGCAAGGCAGGACCCTAACTTGAAATTCAAGCCAGTGGTATAGTCTACGATGCCCTGGGTAGACACAGAACATGTCCTATTCTCCAACTGTGCTCTGGTCTGTTGATTTTAGTAAACACTTCTTGGCTGTGCCCCTCTAATCAGGGAAGTAGGTAGCTGTAATAGGATCCCGTGGAACTGACTTTGCTCAAGGTCACTGGTGAATCACCGGGCTAGATTTGTTTTGAAAGTCCTGCCTCTTCCTGTCTAGCTGCCCATTGCTCTAACCACTCCCAACCCAAACAGTTTATAGGCAGAAAGGCTAAAGGGACTTCTGTCCCACCCCCGTCCCTCCTTGCTGGAGTCCCTGTGAATTAGACACTTCCCCACTGCCCCAATCCCTCTTATGCAGCTGTGCAACCTGCTCAGCCTCTCCCCACCGTGACTTTTTTAGCTTCCAGATAGGCCTGTGATACAGGCCTCTAACAGGGCCCTCTAGTGCCTAGCCAGGTCATCCCACAGATACCAACAGGCCCCACAGAACCTGGCAGTGTCATTTGCCCCAGTCACCACCTGTCAGGCACATAGGCTCTCCCTGGAAGGCCAGTGACTACTGTCAATTGTGGTTCTCCCAACTTCCTCTCCCCAACTTCCTCATTCTCCAAAGATGCTTCCTGGGGCTGTTGCCAATGCCCTTTGCTGGCCACACTTGAGAGGCAGAAAGGCTCAGAAGAAATGACTATCTGAGGCCCCTCTTTCTGGGGCCACTGGGGGTCTGAGTCTATCTCCATCCAGGGCCAGGTTGAGAGCTGTGTGAGAAGCAGGCATCACTTGCAGGGGCAGTGGAGAAAAACCAGGATGGGGTCTTCTTTTTTTTTTTAGAGAAAGGGTCTCACTCTGTACCCAGGCTGGAGTGCAGAGGCATGATGATAGCTCACTGCAGCCTCAAATTCTCGGGCTCAAGTGATCCTCCTGGCCTCCTGCTTCGGCCTCCCAAAAAGCTGAGATTACAGGAGTGAGCCACTATGCTCAGCCCAGGATGGGGTCTTTGGAACCAGGTTTCATTGGCTAAAGCCTTTGAAGCTTTGTGAATGACAATGGGAGAGTGGCTTTGCCCTGGGATCACCAACTAGAGCCCCGACACTGAGGTGACGAAGTTATGATAAAAAGCACAGCTTTGGCTGGGCTTGTGATAAAACTCAATTAGAATAGGAAAGTGATAAGCCTTGAGTAGCTTTGATGGGAAATAAACTCGGAGCTCACTAAGGTGTTGTGGTAAGAGTATGGACCTTGGAGTCAGTGTCCTTTCGGATTAGCTGAACAAACTAACTAGCCTCCCTGAGCTGGGACCTTTGTGAAGTGGGGCTGATGACAGTACATACCAAATAAAGATGCTGTTTAGGAGGAAAAAAGCAGGCATGGGGTGTGATTAGCATAATGCCCAAGTGTGGCACTTGGGCAGGGGTTGAGAAATGGTAAGGCTGCTCCAGGGCCTGCTGGCTGCCCAACTCCCATCACCTGGAGAGACCTGGAAGGGTCTGTTCTCCCTCTGGAAATATCGATATATTACCTAAAGTAATCACAGCACTTTAGGAGGCCAAGGAGGGTGGATCACTTTAGGTCAGGAGTTCGAGACCAGCATGGTCAACATGGCAAAACCTCATCTCTACTAAAACTACAAAAATTAGCCAGGTGTGGTGGCACCTGTAGTCCTAGCTATTCAGGAGGCTGAGACAGGAGAACTGCTTGAACCTGGGAGGCAGAGGTTGCAGCGAGCCGAGATGGTGACAGCCTGGCAACAAAGACTCCATCTCAAAAAAAAAAAAAAAAAAAAAAAAAAAACTATATGCACCACATCTATGTTTGACGGCTCTACTCCCTCTTGAGACCAGGCTCCCAGGTCAGGACATCTGTTAGGCCCTGAGAATCACAACAGTCATACAGGATACTACCTGTCTGAAGGCCCACTGGGTACCAACAAGTACAAAGAAAAACAACAGAAGACGCAATCAGGGACCTCCGGATTCCTCACTAATTCTTCTACGACAGCTCATGAGGCACCACTGACAACACTCCTACTAATGGGCACAAAGTGTTCTTAGGAGATGGCCACAGGCAAGCAAGCAGAAACTATACATGGGTTAAGATCTCTAAGTATGTGAGCAAATGTAATGTAAAGGTTAAGAAAACATGCTCTGCAAAAGATGAAGTGGAGCCTGAATAATTTCTTTCTTTTCTTTTTTTTTGAGATGGAGTCTCATTCTGTCACCCAAGCTGGAGTGCAGTAGTGTGATCTGGGCTCACTGCAACCTCACTTCCTGGGTTCAAGCAATTCTCCTGCCTCAGCCTCCTGTGTAGCTGAGATTACAGGCACCAGCCACCAGGCCCGGCTAATTTTTGTATTTTTAGTTGAGATGGGGTTTCACCATGTTAGCCAGGCTGATCTTGAACTCCTGACCTTAGGTGATCCGCCTGCCTTGGCCTCCCAAAGTACTAGGATTACAGGTATGAGTCACTCCCAAGCACCTGGCCTGGCCTGAATAATTTCTTGGAAAGGGTAAATACACATGTAAACAAAGAAGACCTGCACCAAAAATTTACGTTTTTCTTTGAGACAGAATTTCGCTCTTGTTGCCCATGCTGGAGTGCAGTGGCTCACTGCAACCTCCTCCTCCCTGGTTTAAGCAATTCTCCTGCCTCAGTCTCCTGAGCAGCTGGGATTATAGGTGCCCACCACCATGCCCGGCTCAAAAATTTACATTTATTTATTTATTATTTTTTGAAACAGTTTCACTCTTGTTGCCCAGGCTGGAGTGCAATGGCGCGATCTCAACTCACCGCAACCTCCACCTCCCAGTTCAAGTGATTCTTTTGCCTCAGTCTCCAGAGTAGCTGGGATTACAGGAACGCACCACCACGCCTGGTGGCACTAATTATGTATTTTTAGTAGAGATGGGGTTTCTCCATGTTGGTCAGGCTGGTTTCAAACTCCTGACCTCAGGTGATCTGCCCGTCTCGGCTTCCCAAAGTGCTGGGATTACAGGCATGAGCCACTGTGCCCGGCCCTACTTTTATTTTTAACATGCCTTCAACAAAGATGCCCACCAAAGTGAAATAATTATGAGATTGTTCTTTATGACAGCTTTAGTAAAACAAAGGATAAAAACCATAAATGAGATAGCAACATCTTACATTGGCATCAACACATGTGGGATAGTCTCAGCTCTGCCACCCCCAACTGGGTAGCCCTGGGGAGATCATTCATTTTTCTGAGCCACAGCTAAGCACACCCCATGCCATGCTTGATTTCAGAGATCTAGTTTTCTAGATCTGATGGGTCTAGTAGTGGGAAGGTGGTATGTGTGCTTCAGAGAAAGCAAGTGCCGCGCAATGAGCTAGAAGAAAAACCACCAAGACTCACTCAAGCTTAATGCTCTTTGTGTGATCAGCAACATGACAGAGAAAAGGCTGCATGTCACAAGGCCTCTGTCATGTGCATAACTTTGGCTTTAACAAGCCGACCCAGAAAAGAGCATCATTAACGCAAAATCTGGAATCAAGCAGAAGCCCCCAACCTTCTACAAAATCACCCTACAGCCTCTAAAACGCAAGAGAGGTACAAAACAGTAAGAAAACACTCAGAGAAAGACAACAATTGGCCACAAGGATGAGGCTTTTCAGCCTAGACCTGCAGAAGCACAGTATGGTCCAATGCACAGACAGGAACTTGGACCTTTTCACCGAATCCCAGTGCTTGAATCCTTCAGGAGGTAACATGCAGATATCTAACAGGAAGTGCTTCTGATAGGCGGTTCAGTAAACCAGTTCAGAATGCATCACAGCCAGGGAATAGCACAGAGAGGATATAAGACCTTCAAAATGGTTCAAAAGACCTTGGGGTTGATGAACTATGCTGTTCTAAGGACTGTTTGGGGTCCATTGATTATTGCTAGGGTAAAAAGGTGTTAAGAGTCCAGTCCTGCCCTCACATTAGTTTTTACTGGAGATAATACTGGGCAGGATGAACTATGGGGGCCCCTAGGACCCTCCCATACTCTGTTGTCTATCTGGCTGGAAAGCATGATGATGAACAAAGCAACCTTGCCTCTGTCAGGCACACTTGTAATGGTTCCAAGAGCCAAATTCCAACTGTTGTACTGAGGGTGGCAATGGAACTGTTTTCTGATTACCTAAAATACCACAGATCCCCTTCTTCTCTAATACACATCCAATTACATAGAACTCTAAAATATCTTTTAAAACCCACTCAATATTAAAAGTTCCTTTTTCTCCATTAATCGGCCTGCCCCAAAGAAGGTTTCCCATATCCCACAGGTTCCTTAGAAGGGGCCAGCTAACTGTGATACCTAGCACCCGTATCTTTTCTTGATACACAGCATCCTTCCTCCAGCAGAATCCTAAAATAGCAGCAGTCAGGATTAACATGGCTGTGAGAAGTAGGTGCTTAGCTGAATAACATCAGAATTAATGAGGGGCCAGACCCCAAACAGAGCCACCTGGTGGGCAGGAACGCCAGGCAGGAATGGGGCCGTTTCCTTCAACCAAGTGTCTGGTCCCTGGCTATCTTTGCTTCAGCGGGAACCACATTCTGCCCCCCGCCGAGGCCTGAAGGGCCAGTGCGCAGCACCCTCACCTTTCAGCAGGTCCGGGTGCACATAGCCCAACACGTCGGAGACCCCCAGCTCCTGGCGGGAACAGGTGCCTCCGTGGATGTGCAACCAGGCGGGCTCGGCGAGGGCAGTGCACAGCGCCGTGATGGACAGGGCGCCAGGCAGGGCCGAGGCCAGGCTACGCTCCGGCTGCTTGGGCAGAGCGCTGCCTCCCGGGCTCCTCCGCCGGCGCCCGCCGGGCAGACCTGCGCCTCCGGGGGCGTACATGCCCGGGGCCGCCCGCCGTCGCTCCGCAGTTGTTGCTGGTTGCCGCCGACCTCCGCGGAGCGCGCAGAGCCTCACAGTTCGGTGGAGGAGAGCAACGCTCCGGGTACGCTGCAGGTGAGGCCGGCGCTGGGCTGTCAGGGTTGACACCAGAGGATGGGGGGTGGGACCCAGGGCTGACGGAGACGGGGAGGGCTGCGGGGATTCGGGGGGCGGGGACAGGAGACTCCGGAATGGGACTGCGGGACGACAACCGGAGAGGGCCAGAGGCCAGATGGGGTCTGGGTAGACTCGGGTGGGGGTTGGAGGGATAGGGGATCGGCTTCTGCTGGAGGAAAGACCCGCACTTAGGGTCTCGGCCAGAGGGTGTCGAGGGGCGGCGGACCCGGCTGGGCCGCGGGGATCGGGGACCGGTGATCAGGGACCGGCGGTTTGGGGTGCGACCCGTGCGGAGAAAACACCCTTCCCACGCCGCCCATTGTTCCTCACCAGTCAGCAGGCCTCTGGGCTGGGATCGCGCCGCTCAGCCCAGTCCTGGGCTTCTCGGCTGCCCGGGGCCGAGTGTTCCCAGGCCCCAATCCCGCAACGCCCGGACGGACAGACCCGGGTCCGATGAACTTCCGGCTTCCTACTCTTCTGCCTCCGCCTCCTCCGGCTGCCCGCCCCGTTCCCCGTGCGCGTCACAGCCTGTGCTCGCCGCCGGCTCTCCGCAGGGCCTTACGGGACTGGTAGTTCGAGGCGTCCTGTGATGTTTTCCCTGCGGAAGTGAGGAGAGCGACTACAACTCCCAGAGGGCCACGCGGCCGCAGCAGTAGGCACCTGAGTTCCCTGGACGACCCTGGTCCTCCGGCGGAAGCGGGAGCCTCTGCCGGCCGCTGGAACCTAGAGTGGGCGGCGCGCAAATGCGCGCTTAAGACCTGCTGTCTGCGCAGCTGACTCTGACCGTCCCCACCTCTCCCTGCGTCGGGCTGCCATGAAGGACTCGCTGGTGCTGCTGGGCCGTGTCCCGGCGCACCCGGACTCTCGCTGCTGGTTCCTGGCCTGGAACCCCGCGGGGACCCTGCTGGCCTCGTGCGGCGGCGACCGGAGAATCCGCATCTGGGGCACGGAGGGTAAGGCCTAGCCTGGCTGCGCGGCCCTTGGCGCTGCGGGCGCCGCCTGCGCATAGTGCGGACGCGCAGCCTGCCTGGGAGGCTGACCCTGTTCCTGACAGAGGGAGAGTCGGATGTTAGCCGCCTAGAGAAGGGCTTTGCAGGCAAAGAAGTCTGCAACTACTGGGAGCAAAAACGTCAGCAGACAGGCTGAAATGTCGAGGGAATTGTGGTAGCTGCTAAGGCAGGAAAATGGGAAGAGAAAGGTGTTAGGAAAGTGGCCTGCAGAGTAACTTGAGACTGGACGTTCAGATTTCATACCGAGGGCGTTGGGGAACCAATGGCAATTTTAGATCAGATTTGTTTTAGAAAGATGCCTCCAGAGGCTGGGCGCGGTGGCTCACGCCTGTAATCCTAGCACTTTGGGAGGCCAAGGCGGGTGGATCACCTGACTTCAACAGTTCAATACCAGCCTGGCTAACATGATGAAACCCTGTCTCTACTAAAAATACAAAATTAGCTAGGCATGGTGGCGGGCACCTGTAATCCCACCTACTCGAGAGGCTGAGGCAGGACAATCCCATGAACCCAGGAGGCGGAGGTTACAGTGAGCTGAGAGCGTACCATTGCACTCCAGCCTGGGCATCAGAGCAAAAACTCAGTCTCAAAAAAAAAAGAAAAGAAAAGGCCACCAGAGGAAGTAGAATCAGTTGCATCTTTGTAAAATCTGTGAAATAGACCCCCTGAGCTTTCCCCCAGTAGCCTGACTCCAATGCTAGCTAGCCCCCCAATATCAAATAGCTTCATGGTGCTCCACCCAGCTCCAGAGCCTGGCCTGCGCTCCACCTTTAGGTGACAGCTGGATCTGCAAGTCTGTCATTTCTGAAGGCCACCAGCGCACCGTGCGGAAGGTGGCCTGGTCCCCCTGCGGTAATTACCTGGCCTCTGCCAGCTTTGATGCTACCACTTGCATTTGGAAGAAGAACCAGGATGACTTTGAGGTACCCTGGCTGGTTGGGACCAGAATTATTGCCTGTTTGCTCCCCAGGGCTGGTTCAGGAACCTGAGCCAACCTGCTCCAGTTGGGCTGTACCCATGGGAAGGGCCTCAGGGGAGTTAGCTGCTGTTAATTCTCATTTTCCTTCCCCCTTCACAGTGTGTAACCACTCTCGAGGGCCATGAAAATGAGGTCAAGTCAGTGGCTTGGGCCCCATCTGGCAACCTCCTGGCTACTTGCAGCCGAGATAAGAGTGTTTGGGTCTGGGAAGGTGAGTCCAGGTCCCTCCAGATGGATTGGGAACCACCTGACAGCCTCTTCGGTGTCCCTGACAGGGTCGGCTCTTGGGTTCCTTTTTCTCTCCCACAGTTGATGAAGAGGATGAGTATGAATGTGTCAGTGTTCTCAACTCCCACACACAGGATGTCAAGCATGTGGTTTGGCACCCAAGTCAGGAGGTAAGAGTCAGGCAAAGTCTCTTGTGGGAAGGGCTCCAGTGTGCAGGCTTGTGCCCAGCCTTCCTTTGCTTTCCAGCCTTAATTTAGCTTTTACAGGAATCTCCATCTGTGAACAAAAAACATTAGTCCCTTCATAAAAGTGGATCTGGCGGGGTGCAGTGGCTCACACCTATAATCCCAGCACTTTGGGAGGCCAAGGCAGGAGTTCGAGACCAGCCTGGCCAACATGGTGAAACCCTGTCCCTACTAAAAATACGAAATTAGCAGGGGGTGGTGGTAGGTGCCTGTAGTCCCAGCTGCTCGGGAGGCTGAGGCAGGAGAATCATTTGAACCCAGGAGACGGAGGTTGCAGTGAGCCGAGATTGTGCCACTGCACTCCGACCTGGGCAACAGGAGTGAAACTCTGTCTCAAGAAAATAAAATAAATAAATAAATAAAAATAAAAGCAGATCCCTGGGACTGACCTGTCCTGCACTTCCTGGGGCACACAGACACATGTTGGGTCTCCTTTCCCTCTTCCCCCAGCTCTTAGCCTCTGCCAGCTATGATGACACAGTGAAGCTGTACCGGGAGGAAGAGGATGACTGGGTATGCTGTGCCACCCTCGAGGGCCATGAATCCACTGTGTGGAGCTTGGCCTTTGACCCCAGTGGCCAGCGCCTGGCATCTTGCAGTGATGACCGTACTGTGCGCATCTGGCACCAGTATCTATCAGGCAATGAACAAGGTGAGGGTCCATTAGTAGAGCTAAAGAAGACCCATCTCTCAAGGGATTCACAGTCTGCTAAGACACATATATGAGTCAGAGCAAATCAGGGTAAAAGGTAAGATGTGCCACAAGAGGGCTCTGGTTGGAGTGCTGGAAGATTCGGGAAAGCTTTGTGGAACAGGGGCCGTTTCATCTGCATTTAAGAGGGTATTTAGAATTTTGACATGATAATTTCACGTGAGAATTCCAAGTGAAAACAGTGTGAGTAAAGGTAACAATGGTGGGAATGCCTAGCCTGATGTGAGGAGTGGTGTAATTCCTTTAAATGGGGTGTAGGATATCTAGGGTTTGAAGAGGAATAAAGTGGGTGAGTCAGCTGGTGGGTGGCCTTCACAGGCAGACTAAGTAATTATATATAGTTTGCCATGGAACAGGGATGTTTCCTTCTCAGAATTCTGCTTGAGAAAGGCCAGTCTGGCCATAGTGTGTAAGGTAGATCAGCAAGAATGGGGACAGGAATGGAGATGTGGACTCATAATCAGTTGAAGATGAGGGTGAGGGAAGGTAAGTTAGATTCTCCTCTGAGGCGCCTAGGACATAGGAATGTCTTAAGTGTAAGCGAAGTCTGTCTTGCAGGGGTGGCATGCAGCGGCTCTGACCCCAGTTGGAAATGTGTCTGTACTTTGTCGGGCTTCCACTCAAGGACGATTTATGACATTGCTTGGTAAGACTCTATCCCCTACCCCCATTCCATCCCCATAAAGCAGAGATTTCAGAGAAGGCATGACCCATGCAGCCCTCTGCAACCTTGGGTGGTGCTTGGGAATTGAGGGCAGCCATCCCCATTCCTTATCAGCCCTGACTCTACCATGTTGGCTTACAGCTGCTTGGGCTGGTATTCACGGGAGCAAGAAACAATTCCATGCTGTGAGGACAGCACCAGTGCTCAGGGTTCACACAGCTTGTGCTGTACAGAAGTTATTATTGAATCTGCATTCATGGCTGGAGTTTTTATGGCTTGGTAACACTGACTCTGTCCTTTGGAAGCTGGGAAAGCTGCATCATTCATATAGGAGAGTAGGTCAGAGCTTAGTTCTGGCCCTGAGAATTGATCCCTAGGAAATAATCCAGAACAGTGAAAAAAAAACTGATAAGCACTTAAGCTTGCTTTATATTAGCATTTGGGAATCACCTATTCAACAAAAGTGAATTTAAGTAAATTATGGTAGAACTCAGCTTGTTATATCACTGTTTAAAGAAAGGGGTTAAGAGGCCGGGCATTGTGGCTCATGCCTGTAATCCCAGCATTTTGGGAGGCCGAGGTGGGTGGATCACCTGAGGTAGGGAGCTCGAGACCAGCCTGACCAACATGGAGAAACCCTGTCTTTAAAAACAGAAAAGAAAGGGGTTAAAAATACTTTATTTTGGTTGAGCAAAGTGGCTCATGCCTTTAATCCCAGCACTTCGGGAGTCTAAGGCGGGTGGATCACTTGAGGTCGGGAGTTCGAGACTAGCCTGGCCAACATGGTGAAACCCTGTCTGTACTGAAAATACAAAAATTAGCGGGGCATGGTGGCACACACCTGTAGTCCCAGCTACTGGGGAGACTGAGGCAGGAAAATCACTTGAACCTGGGAAGTGGAGGTTGCAGTGAGCAGAGATCGTGGCACTGCACTCTAGCCTGGGTGACAAGGCAAGACTCCATCTCAAAAAAAACAAACAAACAAAAAAAACTTTATGACATGGGAAACTGCTTATGCCAAGTGAGAAAAGTGCAGTTCATAACTGCATGTAGTTTTTTAGGGTAATCATAGTGGGGGAAAAAACTAGATGGCAGCATCTGAAGATGTAAGTGGGTAATATTTGTGACTCCTTATTACTTAGGGAAACATTTCAAGAGGAGGTTTTTAGCTGAGGCCTAAAGTTAGGAAAGAGAACAGGCCAGGAACTATGGAACAAGTCATAGTAGGTATGACCTAATCAGTCCCGTATACCCACTGATGTCACTTTCCTTCCAGGTGTCAGCTGACAGGGGCCTTGGCTACAGCTTGTGGGGATGATGCAATTCGTGTGTTTGAGGAGGATCCCAACTCAGATCCACAGCAGCCCACCTTCTCCCTGACAGCCCACTTGCATCAGGCCCATTCCCAAGATGTCAACTGTGTGGCCTGGAACCCCAAGGAGCCAGGGCTGCTGGCCTCCTGCAGTGATGATGGGGAGGTGGCCTTCTGGAAGTATCAGCGGCCTGAAGGCCTCTGAGCTACCTCAACTTTGGACAGCATAATGACTCCCAGAAAATGTCATGAGACTTTGCCAGCCCCTGAGAAGACCAGGAGGAGCATCCTTGACCTTCATTTAAAATGGCTCACTTCTATTTAGACTTGGGTGGAAGTATGGAGCCACAGAACTGCTCTCCTTCCCCGCCTTTGTCATGAGGCCCTCAGTAAAGAGCTACAGAACATCAGTACATTGTTATACCACCGATTTTTCTTGCATTAGGGCACAGTGTTAAATTTTTTGGGGGTAAATATACTATTTATAATCACTATGTATAGTAGGAGGGGGTATATGTCTCAGGCCTTTCTGAAGTTGTAAGACAAATAATCCATCTGCGTCCCGAGCCCTATTCATAAGGATATTCATAAAAGAATTCCATGGTGAATCCTTGTCTGAAATAGATCCTGCCTTCCCAGTTTCTGGGTAAATCTTTGCATTTAAGACATCCAATCAATATTGAAGGAAATTTTTTTCTGAATGTAGATTTGAGAGAGGGGCATCTCTGCTTTCCCTCAGAAACCCTCATATACCTCCTGCACTGTTACGCTGTGATGGCAACAGAGTAGGAAAAAAAGGAGAAGACAGGAACCCTAAAAGGGAGGGTTATTACTGGACAGAGGCCCTATATTTTCAACAGGGATGCAAATTGCTTCTTCAGTAGAAATAAAAAGTAGTTTCTGGTCCTCCACAAACATACAGTGTGGTTGTGGTATTTCATTTTCATGGCAGTGAGTGAGCAGGAAGAAGGCTCCTTAGGGGAATGGTGACAAAAACCAGTTGAGAAACACTGGCTTTGGCAGTCGGTGTTCAGGGTTGCGCTAAGGTTGTCTCGACAGTCACTTCTAAATAGGTTCTAATGTGACAATGGTCTCCAAAACTACAGCCCTCACTTAAGTTTAAGCTGTGACCTTAGATTTTAGAAAGACAGTGGTGTGGTACCTAGAGTAGTGGTTCTCAAAGTATGTGGTCTCTAGATCCTGGGAGTCCCAAGACCCTTTGAGGGAGGATCTGTGAGGTCAACTGTTGGCACTGCAGCATGAACCAAGGTGGTGGCAGCAAACTTCTAGTAGTTTTGACACATCCTTGATAAATAACAGTGGCTAACTGTATTAAATGTTGACCTAGCTGGGCGCGGTGGCTCATGCCTGTAATCCCAGCACTCTGGGAGGCCAAGGTGGGCAGATCTCCTGAGGTCGGGAGTTCAAGACCAGCCTGACCAACATGGAGAAACCCTGTCTTTACTAAAAATTAGCCAGGTGTATTGCCATACCCATAATCCCAGCTACTTGGGAGGCTGAGGCAGGAGAATCGCTTGAACCTGCGAGGCAGAGATTGCAGTGAACTGAGACTGTGCCATTGCACTCCAGCCTGGGATACAAATGAAACTGCATCTCAAAAAAAAAAAAAAATGTTGATCTTAACACAAAATATTCTAAGAAAATGGGAAGCATGCATAAAGCCCCTCTGCTATGCACTGAAGTATGGGTGCCTTGAGGAAAAGCAACTGTACAATTGAGTTGCAAGCAGAATTCGCTATGTTCAAGGCATTCCCTTTAGAGTTGAAAGAACTGGCAGATTATGGTATTTAGACTTGAGTATTTGGCTGACATTTTCTGCAAAATGAATGGAATGAGCCTCTTACTTCATGGGAAACAACTGATAGTGTTGCCAATGATAAAGCTTTCAAGCAAAAATTAGAATTTCTGAAAATCTGTACTCTATCATGAACTTTATTGGGAATATTAACAGATGTGATTTGTATAATGAAATGCATTTCATTTGGAAGAATTCAATGAACCAGTTTCCAAGTGACCAGTACATGAGGTTACAAAATCATTCATGGCTCAAAGATTATTTCAGAAGTATAAGACAGGCCAGTGGATTTGAAAGTATTAATAACAACATGAGAGTGCATTTTTTCAGAGTCCACATTGCCTTTAAGAAACTCATTTATGGTCTTGGTGTGGTATCAAAGAATAGCTACAATTAACTGAAAAGGCTATTTAAAAAACTTCCAACTGCATATCTGTGTGAAGTCAGCTTACTTCAAAACAGTTTGGATGTAGAAGCAGCTGTAATGATCCAGTTGTTTCTTCTTATATCAGATACAAAACATTGTAAAATGCCACTTTTCCCCCTGGATTTACTGTTTTGGAAGTTATTCTTCATGAAAAATGGTAATGTGGGCTGGGCACGGTGGCTCATGCCTGTAACCCAGCATTTTGGGAGGCTGAGGTGGGTGGATCACTTGAGTTCAGGAATTTAAGACCAGCCTGGGCAACATGGTCAAACCATGTCTCTATCTAAAAAAAAAAAAAAGTTAACATTACAATTCAAAAGTGCATTAATCTAAATAAAGGCTTTTTGGGACAACCTCCAGAACTGTGAAAAATATGTTATTTTAAAAAAAAGCTCCTTGTCTTAGTTTTCAGTAAAGAGGTTCTAAGACTAAATCATTTGAAAAGTGCTGCCCTGAGGAAACTGCCCTTCAGAATTGTATTTCAATTTTGTACACATTTAAAGAACAGAGGGTAAGAATTTGAAGAAAATCGGAAGATCTGGATTAGGAAATTCTATTTACTAAGACTTGGTCACATCCAGTTGGTACATTTCAGTCCTCCTGGTGCTGTCGTCCAGGAGCAGACACTGCAGAATTTTAGAACACCCATTTAGAGAAACCTCTAACTTGTGATCTAGCCTCCAAATCTCAGTGTTGGTTCCTGTGGTAGTGCTGACGTATGGGTACCACTGAAGCAAGGCCACAGTCCTATGTTTCCTCCTCCAGGCTGACTCAAGACCTCAGGGGACAGCACACCTAATGAGCAGGTCTGTCCTCCAGATGCACTCATTACAAGTTCATTCCTGGCTAATTTTGGCCATGCCCTTAGGTTGAAGAAAACTTATAATTTGGAATCACTGCAAAGACAAATGGTTTCTACAAATTATTTTATTAGAACGTCAAACTCAAAAGGAACTACCAGGAACATGCCTGAAAATGCTATATACGATTTATGCTTGACGTGACACCTGCTGTCATTGCATCCAGAATATGAACAAAAGAAAAGGAAGTGGAGGTGGGCAGGGACAGCACCAGCCCTGGCTAGCCAGACCTCAGGCCCACAAACCTGGTCCCCACAAACAGGATCCCTACAATGTACACATTCCTAATTCACACTCAACTCTCCTTTTAGCCAGGAGTAGATGCCTCAGGACTCAATCTGAATCACTGTCCGTCTCAGCTTCTTTCACATCCACACTGAATTTGTATTCCTGGTCACATCCCATGTAAGCATCACTCATGAAATACAGAGTATAGTTGTGGGCACCAGTGGCTGGGGCCACAAAGTCCAACTTCACCTAGAAAAAGCAAGCAGAAATCAAGATGAGCATGGACACAGGAAGCATCCTCACCCTTCCCCCACATCAGAACAAATGCTGGAGCCGGTGGACACACTCACCTTGGCCTTCTGCTGCAGGGTCAGCCTCTTGATGGAGATGAGGCTATTGGACTTGGCATCTCCAATCACCACCCACCAGCCTTCTTCACGTTTCTGCATGAAATAACAGCATGAGAGTGCATTAAGTTTCTGCAGTAATTCAAAACCAAGAAATTCAGGATGTAAAACTTGATGGCCATAGGCAACCGTGAAAATGGTTACGGTTACAAAAGAAGGATAACAACGATTAGATAGCTTTCCAAAGTTTCTTCCCGAAATACAATTAGATATAACATTTAAAACTGTCAAAAATTGTCTCAAACAGGCTTAATTTTTTAAGTACACAGATGAACTCATTTATTGGTTCTGGCTCATTTCCTTGGACCACTAGGTCCAAGATACTACTATTAGAGGTCTAGTCTTTGGGGTCTGGTAGCTTTGAGTTCCTTAGAGATACTTTTAAGTACAAGGCCAATCTGCCAAATGGGAAAAAACTTAACACAGAGCTGAATGTGCACAGAGAAGATAACACAGCAGGCCTTGCAGCCCTGTCTACTGGCCACCCTACTGTCACAAAAACCAAGGCCCCAGTTAAAAGCACTCTTTCCTCAGAATCTATGAAACAGTTTACACAATTAAACATGACAGTATCTGGTTTCTGCTGTCAACCTTCAATTATTCTCCCATATAAAAAAAAAAAACAATTTCTTTCTGGTGGTAAAGAACCAAGAAACCAGAAGCAGTGTAAGCGGCAGTGAGAAAAAAGAAGAAACAACCAGGAAAGCCCAAGTGTCTGGGAGCCACTGGAGTTAAAGACAAATGCATCTCTCCTCTAAAGATGGCAAGATAATAAAAAATTAAAAAAAAAACAAATGCACCTTTTTTTTTTGAGACGGAGTTTCGGTGTTGTTACCCAGGCTGGAGTGCAATGGCACGATCTTGGCTCACCGCAACCTCCGCCTCCTGGATTCAAGCAATTTTCTTGCCTCAGCCTCCCAAGTAGCTGGGATTACAGGCACGCACCACCATGCCCAGCTAATTTTTGTATTTTTAGTAGAGACGGGGTTTCACCTTGTTGACCAGGATGGTCTCGATCTCTTGACCTCGTGATCCACCCGCCTTGGCCTCCCAAAGTGCTGGGATTATAGGCGTGAGCCACCATGCCCGGCCGACAAATGCATCTTAAACAGAGAGATGGACAATACTACACGACTGAAGAGTTTAACAATGACCAGTCATCTCAACTGTTTCAAACTAAGCAGAAACCAACACAAAAAAAACCCATAGCCTCAAGATTAATTCTCGGCCTTGTGAACTCATTATCACTCTAAAGTTTCCCTCCCTCAGTGAAAATGAGTACCAAGCACCTAGCCAATGGATAGGGTGAGTTGACACCTGGCCCAGCCAGCTACCGGGACGCACCTGTGGGAAGAGAGGCGCAATGACAGGGCCTGTGACTTCCTCCTCTCGCTCCAGCTGCACCAGCACCACCACCGGCCCGCCACTGCAGGGGTAGACAAGAGTCCCACATAAGTGATGTGACAGTGGGCTCACAGCATAATTCCATGCTGTGGCCAATAGGTACCCCCTCTGGCTCACCTGCGGATGCTGTCCTTATCCACCACCTCATAAGACAGTTCAATATTAGGGTAGCGGTTACAAAAGCGGGCCACATCTGCAATCTGGCTGTCAGTCAGCTGAAGCAATGCATTCCGTTCTTCATCCTCCATCTCCATGATGTCGAAAACACTCTCTACTCCCTGCAGTCAGTATTCAGACATCGGGAAAGATAGAACACAGGCCAACAGCAAATGACACAGGTGCCAAAGAACCACTAATTTTACCTCCTACATTATCAAGTCACCTAGAGAAAACAGCTGCAGAAAGAACACGGCCCACAGTTGGCAGCCTCTCTAGCATCTCAACAGGGAGCACCTTCGGAGGAACCAGAACTAAGTTTCACTTACTGAGACCCACCCTCCTGCAACCCACCCTCAGGCCATGACACAAGGCTCTCAGGCTCATCCACCTGACCCTCTAAGCCAACCCAGCTCACCTTGTCGGTGCAACGTTTGATATGCTCAGAGGTGAAGTGTGGCAGCTGCTTCAGGTATGAGTCCTTGGACCACATGGCTTGGGTGACCATCTGGGCCAGTTCCATAGCTGCCAGAGCAGGGCTGAGCCACCCATTGCTGGAGAGGACATCCACGCAAGCCTGAATGAGCCGGATTGCCTGAACAAGAGAAGTCATAAAA